CTGAGTGTTTGTGTGCTCGTTTAGGGGGCAGACTGGAGGCCTGTGTGGGTCGAGGCCCTCCGCTGGCTCTTCTCAGACCCAAAGACAGTCTCCCACACCTCCCGGTCCAGATCCCCCACCGGAGGGACCGGGCAGCCAGCAGACTGTCCGCCCCTGCTGCAGGTAAGGGCCAAAGTCGGCTTCATTCTGCCTCTAGCTGTCCCAGGAAACAGCCACTGGAGAGGGGGGATGGGGGGGTTGTTTAGAGTGTGTGAGAAATCATTTATAATAATAATGATAATACATTTTATTTTTAAAAAGCGCCTTTCATGCCACTCAAGGACACTTTACAAATACGATCATCATTAAAACAACATTGAAACATAAGAACATACATAAAGTCATAAATACATTGTAAACAAAAACGTAATAAATTAATTAAATTCAAATGAAATTAATAAAAATGCAGAATGGGGAATGTTAGTTAGAAGTAGTGAGGTGGGAAAGAATTTTTTAATTTTGAGTTGTTGTTTTGAAAAGAGGGAGAGAGTCGGTATTACTGACAGGTATGGAGGGGCATGGTTGTGGACGGCTTTGAAGGTGTATAGAAGGATTTTGAATTGGATTCTTGGAGCCTGTGAAGCTGCTATAGGATGGGGGCAATATGGTTGGAAGAACGGGCTTTGGTGAGGACACGTGCAGCAGAGTTTTGCACCAGCTGAAGCCTATGGAGAGACTTGTGAGGGAAAAGAGAAAGGATCTGCAGTCATCTAGACGGGAAGTGACGAGACTCTGGACAGGGATGGAGGCGGTGTTGGGGGTGAGGCTGGGACAGAGTCGGTCGATATTACGTAAGTGGAAGTAGGCAGATCGAGTGTTGTTTTTGATGTAACACCAGGGGATTTCTTCCATTCTCCTGCCGTTACCACCCCCTCTGGGACACATTGTGTCTCCAGCAAACTCACCTTTTCCTAAAAGAGAAAGTAAAAGATGGAACTTTTGACCGTGTGAGTCTAGTCTGGATGAGTGAGTGTGTCCAGACCTCTGCCTGGCACTGCAAGCTCTGGTGAGGGGCTTTTTGTTTACACAGCCATCAGTCACAGGACACATGGATCCGTTTAGTTTCTAAGGAATACACCTCTAAGGAATCCTTCTGGTTCTGAGTTAATGTTGCTTTTGGTTTTTTGGAGCTCCACAGTGAGGACAGCAGCGGGCTCTGTGTGCAGACTGGACCATAAAAGCAGTGAAAAATAACCAGAAGTTGAACATTTACCAAACAGGGAAGTTCACAATAGGTCAAAACTCCTAGTGCAAAGCTAAAGGGAGCCAGAGTTTGAGGAAGTCTTTGTTTAAATGGCCCCTTTGCTGTTGGGAAATTAATTTCCAATTTTTGTCAAAAATTGCAGCATCTGGACATTTCCAGATTTATAGCAACACAAACAAGAGTACCGTACATTACACATCGTCACCCAAGCTCGCCCCAATTAAAGCTTTATCAATAAATTTGATTTAAGACTTTTAAGAAAAGAGAAGGTGTCTGCTTCCTGAACCAAAAATGACGAAAACATCCTACAAATGAGCAATATTAGAGTTTTTATCTTATAGTATCTTTGTAATGATGCATATTATCTTATAATGTGCAATACCACATCCTACTATGTACAATATTTACATTTTCTTGTTCTTGTGCAACTTTTCCACATATATATTTAATCATTTATAAAGCAATATACTTTATTTCTGTACTTACAGCCAGGTTATCTGCACCGTACTTAATGGCTAGACTGTATATTTTTTTTAAGATTTGATATTTGCACTGTTGGGAATCGGCTTTTATCTTGTTACACGTGTAGAATGACAATAAAATGCCTTCTGATAAAGGCCCTGCCTTCATTTCAGTCTAAAAAACTTATAAACCTACCAAAAGTTAGCAATGCCAGCTTACTAAATATGTGTGTGTGTGTGTGTGTGTGTGTGTGTCCACTCAGGTTTGACATGTATCCAGAGTAAGGCGGGACGAGGGTCCAGCCAGGAGGAGTCCATCTGCGTCCTGCAGCTGACCGAAGCGGGAGACCTTTTCTACCAGCTCCTCCAGCGGCCGGACCTGGACCTGGAGCGGGACCTGGACCTGGACCTGGACCGGGACCAGGACCGGGACCGGCCCCGACCCGCTGCTGCAGCCAGCGATGACCAGCCCGGACAGAGCCCGGAGGGGCCGGACGCCTGGAGCGACCAGGACGTGGTGGGCCCCACCCAGGCCGCCAGCGTCCAGGTCGTGGCCGAGACCCCGGAGAGGGAGCGGCCGGAGCAGGGGCCGGATCTCCCTCCTCCCTCTCCATGGGACCGCGACGACTCAGGGTCGGACGGCGTGCGCCGGCCAGAGGCGGCGGTGGAAGACGGGGGAGGGGCGGCCGGCGGGATGGACGGCGGGATGGACGGCGGGGTCCCCGGCGGCGAGGAGGCGGGCCGCCGCCGCCTCAGCAGAGGGGCGGCGGCCACCTGGAAGCTGTGGCTCCAGATGCTGGCGCAGAGGAGCAGCCGGGGGGAGCCGCGCCCCCGCCGCTTCCCGCTCTTCAGGGTGGCGTCCCGGGGCCTGCTCAGCCCCCCCGACGGGGGCGGGGGGGCCGCGCCCGACGGCCAGAGGTGGGCCCGGCTGAGCTGGGGCCTGAAGTCCAGCATGGCCCGCCGCTCGCTGCTGCTCCACAGCGCCGCCGCCGCCTGGCTGGAGCCCCCGGGCGCCCCCCCGCCGCCCCCCCACGTGCCCACGGACACCTGGAGCGACCCCCTCAGCCAGCGGCTCGCCCTGGCCTGGCAGGGGGAGGCGGCCTGGCGGGGGTGGTGGGAGGAGCGCCTGGGGCTGAACCGGCAGGCCCGGCTGGAGGCGCTGAGGAGGAAGAGGAGGAGGAGGAGGGAGGCGCGGCGGGCCGGCGGCGCGCTGTCGGCGCTCAGCGCCAGCTTCACCTCCGCCAGCTCCCAGTCCGAGCTGGACGACTTCTCCAGCTCGGCCGGCTGGTCCTCGGCGGCCAGCCGGAGGGCGTGGTCAGACACGGAGGGGGACTGGGACAGCCGGAGCGAAGCGGCCACGCCCTCCGCCACCCAGCCCAACTCTCCGGTCCGGACGCCGGCCGGCACGCCTCAGAGCGCCGGACACAGAGGAAGGGCCGGCAGCCTTCACCTGACCCAAACACAGACCCCCCAGGCCTCCACGGCCAGCCAGCGGGGGGCCAAACGCCACCTGGACGACTACTTCAGCTCCCTGTTGGCATCCCAGGTAGGAAACGCTTCACTGGATCAGATCGGCCGCCGATATTCGCAAAAAAATGTGAATCGGCCGGCAGGAGAAGACACGGATCCAGACTCCCAATCCAGTCCAATCCCACACAAGCATTAGCATTAGCATTAGCCACTCCTAACCACTAAGTTGTTATCAGAGTAAATCCCTGTTCTACATGAGTCTGACGTCTAAGTAAGTAGATAAATAACTTTAGACTTCAACACATGCTCTGACAGGCCTGTATCGGTCTTGGATCAGAAGTGACATCCCTACTTTCAACGATCGCTCACTACTTTAGTTGCATTTATTTATTTTCACCCCGTAACACAAAAGTGTTGCACAGCAATTTCCCTCAGGATAAATAAAGCTTTTTTAATATTTAAACCTTCAGTCTGACAGGCCACGTTGGTCTTAAAGAAACGGGTGTAAAGTGGAAAAAAGTGCTTTTTCCTCTGATTGAACTGAAGGCTAAAATAATGTTGGGATGAGAAGTGGCCTGACATGAATAATACATAACGAGGAAGGAATTTATACTCTGAAGAAAATAGGTTTCAATTGACAAAAATGGGGAAAAAAACTTTTTTAAAGTTAAAGTTGTCCACTTGATTCTTAAGTTATTTTTTGGCTAATTATCTTTCACTTCATATTTATTTTTAATTCTTTATTTTAATTCATTATTTTATTTGTTCTTTATTTTCTAATTTCATTAAATGAAATGGGATTCCAAATCCCCAGAAGCATGCCTGACAAAGAACAGCAGGTTTGAATAGTTGAAACTGGACTGACGGTGTGTTTCTCTTCAGGAGGAGCCCTCCCAGACTGACCTCCAGCTGCTGGAGATGGGCAGTGACCCGGACGCGCCCGCTGAAGCCTCGTCCTCCCAGCTCCTCGCTTCGCCCTCCCTCTTCCCCAGGAGGCGCTCGGCGGCCCCCTCCCGGGCCCCCCCGTCCCAGAGCCTGTTCCCCTCCCAGAGCTCCCAGGCCCGGCCGGGGCCCTCCCAGAGCTCCCAGAGCTCCCAGCCCAGGAAGAAGTCTCGCATGGGATTCTAACGGTTTGGACTCAGTGTGTGGATTTCCGAAGGGGTTCAAACCCCGGACTGAGGACCTGATTAAGGACGTGAGGAAGGAAGTGATGAAGGAGGGTCACCAGACGGCGGACGCAGTCGGAGGTTGGAGATCTTTTGGGCCCAGCATGGTAGGACTGAGGAGAAAGTGGCGTGTTGTGTTTCTGTGTGTGTGTCTGGTGCTCCTGTGGGAGGGTTAGGGTTAGTGGGTCCAGCTGCTGCTTTTACAGATGACTTTAAAGGCGGAAAAACCCATTAGAGCTGCTGAGGTTTATCTGAGGGGAGGAACAGGGTAGCTAAGGGGCTGACGGTCAGCTCCTCTGGATCATTTAGAGTTTTCCCAAACAAAAAATGGACGATGAGATTGTATGGGCGTTTCCTGAATTTTACCAGCATCTCTCAGGTAACCGTGACCACTTATGCTTTCATAGAAAAGCTGCAGAATATCTAGTTTTGACTAAATCAGTGTGCTGATGGACACTTTTTTCTACTGTTGCCCCCAGATTTTGTTTCTTTTGTTTGTGTTAAAGGAACAATGATTTCTGTTACTGTTATGATGAAACCTTCTCAATACACTTTTTTAATTTTTTGTACAGTTTTCTAAATAAGCTGAATTCACATCAATAAAACCACTCAAACTAAGCTTTGGTGCTGTTTTGCAAAAACTAAAAAGGATCTGGAACTCAACACCCAGTTTGAGTAGGGAGACAATCCAGTAGCACCAAACATCTGTTCACATCTGGCCCGACACGGCCAAAACAAAGAGCTGTGGTTGGTTGTTTTTTAGTCTGTGGATGAGGCAGCTCAGCTCTCTTTAACAGAAGAGAAGATCAAGACTGCTCCTCTGTTCCTGAGCCTGTCCAACTTTAGATTTAGATGGACAAACAGGGAGGTCCTTTAACCAGGATTTCTTGTTACACTTTTAAAGAATTGTACTTGGTCCTTAGTCATTCCAGTATGAAGACATCTTTACAGAAATCCTTATTTTTTCTTAAAATTCTGTGCTTTTATAATATTAAAAAGGACTCTTAATGAAGTATGAATCCCCGTTTGGTCTCATGAAACAAAAGCTGTTGTCTTTTTTTTTTATTGTTCATTAGACACTTATTGGCCTCATTTCAAGGGATTTTAAGTTAGCAGCTCACAAGAAAGACAAAGACAAGCATGTTAAAAAATAATTTCTTTTTATAGGATTTTCTTATTTCCTGTACGTGGCAAAAAAAGAATAACTTAATATCTACAAAGAACTATAAACATTTTTTTTTTACATCATTTACAGTTTTACATGTTTTTGTGAACATTTTTGACATTTTTAACTTTTTTTTTAAAACACTCGTTCAGCATTATTTTTGTTCCATACAACATTTCTAAACATCTTTCAAACTTTTTTTTTTAACTTTGTTTCTTTTTAAGCTACATCATACGATTGGCAACTTTATAGTGAAACCAGTACCACACGTCCACAGACACCCTGCAATGGGACTGGAGTTTGGCTCTGAGGGAGGAAGCCTCGAGCTCCAGTCCCACCATTAAATACTTGTAATATAATAAAGTATTAAAGAAAAAAACTAAATGTGCAAATTAGATTTTACAGAGAACGAGAGCAGCAGTCAGTCGGACGCGTTATAGAAAAGAAAAATAAATTATTGTTTACAAGACGTTTTCCAGCCTGTTATCCAGACAGGAGACAACAAAATTAAAAGATTTCTGTTCATAACAGTCCAGAAGCGGACGAACTTTCCTCTGGATAACGAACCGAAATGAGGTTTGAAGAGGAAAAAAACAAAAAACGACTGCTGCTCTCGGCTTCTGTCCACCATGAAAACTCCTCATGCTCAATACAAAAACAGTCCTGGATTCCTAACAGTCACAGAAAAACAACTGATGCAGTAAACTCTACATGTTCTGGCAGAGGGCCGGAGGATTGTCTGACCGGCCCGTCTGCCAAACGCCCCCCCCCCACGTCTAAGACCAAACCCGGCACCCTGGAATGTGACATCTGGACGTGCGCCAGAGGGGCCGGAACCAGATCAGATCTACCAGGACCGCCGCTCCACCGGCACCAGTTAGTTAGACCAATAAATTAAAGGGTGGGGGGACGGCGTGGCACGCGGTGGTGGTGGTGGGGGGGGGCTTCAGGCGTGGAGGTACTGGCGGTGCTTTTGGCGACGGAGGCTCAGGGGGAAGTAGGGGCCTTCTGCATCACTGCCCAGAGAGCTGCTGAGGGACTCCTCCCCCGAGCTCATGGCCTCCTCGCCGGAGTCGTCACTGCGGGGACAGAAAGGGGGGGGTTAAAGAGTCAGTGGACACGCCGGTAGAAAGTCAGACATGTTCTAAAAACGTGGACGCTAGGGATGCAAACGGTTAATCGACTTTAGATTAATTGTCGATCAAGAGGTTGCTCGATCAAAATGTATTAATCACGATTAACCGCTAGCGCTTTACTGTAACTTGAACACAGCGTGAGAACGAGAACACGCCTCGTGTCGCGAGAGAGACCAGGGCTGAAAACAAAATGAAGCGGGCGAAAAGAAGAGCGGTGTGTGACCACTTCAATATTGTTAATTCAGGCAAAGGAGGTTGTCATAGCGACTGTCCGCGACCACAAAAACAAGAACGTTGGGGCGTTAGCCAGCTAGCTAGCTAGCATAGCCACCTATCCGTTAGCATTAGCATCAGCCGAAGAGATGATAGCGCTCAACAACAAACTGCTGGACCTTGAACCAGTCCAGCAGTTTGTTGATGAGCGCTATCATGCAAGAACTGAGCCAGGTTTTTTTTTAATTACAGATTTTGTTTTACCTTAAAAACGTGTCTGCTTTCTTCTCCTAATGCATAATTACTTGAGGAATGTATAATATAATACAATATAATTATGGTATCATAATGTTGGCTAATGTAATATAATACCTCAATTATATTAAGGCCCTATTGAAGCCCTGAAACTCAGGTGAAAAACGCCGCTTATCAATTAATCGAAAGTCGATCGATAAGATAATCAACTA